GAATTATAGCGGTGCCAGAAGAAGAGAGAGGGCAAGATATTGAAAACCTATTTGAAGAAATAATGACAGAAAACTTCCCCTACCTGGTGAAAGAAATAGACTTACAAGTCCAGGAAGCACAGAGAACCCCAAACAAAAGAATCCAAAGAGGACCACACCAAGACACATCATAATTAAAATGCCAAGAGCAAAAGACAAAGAGAGAATCTTAAAAGCAGCAAGAGAAAGACAGTCAGTTACCTACAAGGGAGTACCCATACGACTGTCAGCTGATTTCTCAACAGAAACTATGCAGGCCAGAAGAGAATGGCAAGAAATATTCAAAGTGATGAATAGCAAGAACCTACAACCAAGATTACTTTATCCAGCAAAGCTATCATTCAGAATAGAAGGTCAGATAAAGAGCTTCACAGATAAGAAAAAGCTAAAGGAGTTCATCACCACCAAACCAGCATTATATGAAATGCTGAAAGGTATTCTTTAAGAAGAGGAAGAAGAAAAAGGAACTCTTACCATTTGCCACAGCATGGATGGAACTGGAGAGCATTATGCTAAGTGAAATAAACCAGTCAGAGAAGGATAAATACCACATGATCTCACTCATTTGTGAAATATAATGAACAACATAAACTGATGAACAAGGACTGATCCAGAGACAGAGAGGCATTGATTGGACTGTCGGGCCTTGGAGGGAAGGCAGGGGAGGGTGGGGGTAAGGGGGAAAGATCAACCAAAGGACTTATATGCAAGCATATAGGCCTAACCAATGGACACGGACAACAGGGGGCGGTGAGGGCATGAGCGGGGGGGGGGGGGGGGGGGGGATAAGGACACATGTGTAATATCTTAATCAATAAAAAATATATTTAAAAATGTAAAAAAAAATTAATAATCTTTACAGGATTTCTAACAGTTAACTATAATCATTCACTCTTTCAACAAATATCTACTGAGTACCTATTACACAAAAGGCATTATGTAAAAAAAAAATTTTTGTGGTATACACAGACATATATAGAACAGAACTTTTCCCCTGTTAAATTTACTTATCCAAGCAGAGGTCCTGTTTAGCATCTCAGAAATTTGACCTCAATTTTCCAGAGCACATAAAAAGATTTAATTCCCAGATAGGAAAGAAGAAAATTATTCTCAAAATTCATTTATTCCTCTCACTATATAGGAGTTGGTCCAGGCAGAAAGAAATTAAGTTCCTGCCCAATCCTGGTCTATTTTCCGGGAAAGAATGCACTACCTTTCTTTTTGTTTTATTTTAGGTTTAATTATACTACCTCATCCTTTGAGATTAGATAGATCACAATTTGGGATAGTTATTCTAATTTAAAGTATGTAACTTATTATATTCTCTTTTAAGTTATATATTTTAAATGATTTGGTTATAACGTACATTCATGCTTTTTCCCGTGTATTAAGAACACAGCAGCCCTGACCGGTTTGGCTCAGCGGATAGAGCGTCGGCCTGCGGACTCAAAGGTCCCAGGTTCGATTCCAGTCGAGGGCATGTACCTTGGTTGCGGGCGCGTCCCCAGTGGGGAGTGTGCGGGAGGCAGCTGATCGATGTTTCTAACTCTCTATCCCTCTCTCTTCCTCTCTGTGAAAAATATATATATATATATATAACACAGCAATTTCACAATACCTCCAAAATCTGGTAACTATATATAATATAAGCAAATATGATAATAGATGTATTTAATATTTACCTTTCTCTCTAACAACTCTTTTAAAAAATAAACATGGTGCTAGCAAAATAGACAAATCCCTTGTCTCTAAAAAAAAACTTGCTATAAAAATAGCTATAAGCCAGTAATAATAAAATCATAAAAAATTCATCTAATAAATGTTATTTTATTGCATTTGGGTTCCTAGCAAGCATTATTAATTATTGTCATCATTATTGACAGCTGAAAAACTGCCTCCCTCCCACATTCTGATTAATTTTAATTTTCTTCAAATTAGATCTTCAATACCTAGATTTCTCTCTAAGTTTTGCTACCTCTTAAAAGATGGGTATACTTTTTTCATACTCATAGCTGAGAAATCAGATTTCTGCTAGAATGACTAGTATCTTCCTCAATATGAAAAGCAAGTTTATACCACAATTCAATTTTCCATTTTTAAAATAAATTAACCTACAGTTGACATACAATATTATGTTGAATACAAGAAATGTTATTCAACATTTACATACCTTTCAAAGTGATGACTGATATAAATCTTGTAACCATCTGTCATCTGTCATCGCACTGACTTATTTTATAACTAGAAGGGTATATCTCTTATACCCTTCACCTTTTTTTCACCCACACAAGTTAATTTTCTTTTCTTTTTTTTAATTTGGCATAGAAAGTAGCTATTATAGAAACAAGAAGTAGGAGGGAATAAAACTGTTGTGCTAAGAAGTTCAGAATAAGAAACTCACAACAATACTCATATTCCATTCCAGATTTAAAAGTATACAGAAAATACATATAGAGATACGGATTTTTAAAGAAAGATATAAATTAGGGAGATATTAATTTATTCCAAAATGGTATACTAGGTAATTATTTTAAATATTTAATTCTTCATGAACTTGAAAACCAAAAATTTGATCTACAAAAAGGTAATTTTCAAAAATTTAATAAAATATTTCTATCAACTAAAACAAAATCAGAAACCTAGGAAAAGCCCTCTGAGATCAGTAAACAAAAAAACTTTACTTTTAGATGAAGAAACTAAGTCCTAGAATATAACCTACTGAAGGTCACCAGCTTTGAAGATACAAAAATCAGGATTTATAGTCAATTCTAACCCAACCAAAAGTTCATGTTTTCTCTATACTATGATATGGGAGAAAGAAAAATTTATTATTTTCAAATAAGAGTATGAGGCAGAGAGTCAAGAGACATTATACTATTAAAAAGCATAATGATGGTTGAGAATCTCCACAAGTCCAGTGTTTTACCCACTACATAACTCAGAGTTAAGGTTTTTAGAATCATTGGATGGCATAGTAAAATTTAACTCTAGTAATAGTTTAAAAAAAATGTTGGTTTTATAAACAATATGAATAATAGTTCAAAGTCATCTATATTATGTTTCTTGAATTTTTGTAAGTCTAATTCATTAATAAACATTTTTACAGAAGGAATACTAACATATTTTATTTTCCGTTTTCCCGCTAACGTCATTTCCTTACCTCACAGTCACATTTCTAGCAACTTCAACTATTTGAGTAAGAAATATACAAATGAACAAAATGAGCTTTAATAAATATCATTAAAAGGATATCAAATATACTTTCTGACTTGAGAAACACATAACTCCAAAGGAAAAGGATAACTCAAAATATACCCTTTTATCTCATGATCCACTCAACATCTCTTTCATTTAAAATTTTAATATTTCTCTATTGACATTTAAAACACCTTTATAAAATATATAACACAGAATACCATATAGCTTTTTCTTTTTTTTTTACTTCCACCTTTCAGTAGGTTAGTTAGTTCATAACCTATTCTTCAAAAATTTAGAACTGGTATGCTTCCCTATCCTAAGAGTAATTGGGTTGTAAAAACACCTTTCTAAACAAATATAAAGTTACCATTTTTTTACACATTTTACCATTAATTACAACCCAAACTTAATTCTTTCATACATCAACTTAACAAACAGACTTTATATTCGATGTATAACACAACCATGCACATTGAAAACTGAAAGAACATACATTGGGGAGAAGTTCCTGATGTGAGAATGAAAGCTAGCTTTTGAAGCTGTAACTAATTTCAAGAAATCTAAGTCTGTTTGTTTTTAAAACTTCAGTGGCTATTCAAAGTATAATGTTCAAATCTATCACTACAGAAAAGCCAGAGTGTTGTTAACATGTGTGAACCTTCAACATGATATCGGCTTGATATCCAGCCATCAGAACTCCACCTGCTATGCTTGGACCTGACCTTCCTCCCAAACTTCCCAGATCGTTCAGACTAAAAATGGCCCAGTTACTGCTGGAAAAAGTGTAAGAATCCTTTTATCACTGAGATATACAAGAAGGTCACGCAATATGCTAACTTGGGAAGGAAATATATGCTGCAAAGCATGTTAAAATCTGTTATAAATATATTACAGAACTTTAATGCTGGTCATGATAACAATGACGATAATTATAAAAACTAATATTCATTAAAATTAAGTATTTAATCCTCACAACAACCATTATGGCTGCGAAGTTAAGAAACTAACCAAGATCACAGAGCTTGTAAGTGAAAGAGCTAGAGCTTGAAATATCTGACTCCAGAACCCACACTCTTTTTAATTTACTATATTTCCATTGCCTATCTTCCCTAATCCCTATTCAAATATATTACTAAACACCTACCTGCCAGTCACTTAAATTCCACAATATGTAAATTAAAGATTATTAAAGCACCAATCTAGAATCCCTCAACCCAAACAAAAAGTAAAGCATGTGCTTTATTTTAAAAAGATTTCAAAGGTCACTCATGATTTCATTCAACAAATGTTTAAATGAAAATTTGCTGTGAGAAGCACCATGCTAGATGCTGAACAGACAAAAAGTTGAAGAAGATATAGTCTTTCCCTCAAGCCCCCAAAATACATATATAATTCAGTACTGAAGAGCATTTTTACTTTTTTTTTTAAAATATATTTTATTGATTTTTTACAGAGAGAAAGGGAGAGAGAGAGTCAGAAACATCGATGAGAGAGAAACATTGATCAGCTGCCTCCTGCACACCCCCCACTGGGGATGTGCCCGCAACCCAGGTACAAGCCCTTGACCGGAATCGAACCTGGGACCTTTCAGTCCGCAGGCCGACGCACTATCCACTGAGCCAAACCGGTTTTGGCACATTTTTACTTTTAAATCACTATTTAATTTTATAAGGCAACATTACTCCTATTACCAAAATGCTAGTGTACCTTAGTAATGTATATAGTAAAAATGTTAAAGAAGACAGACTTTGCCATTAGCTTACATTTTCGATGACAAATGTCCACTCTTTATCTTCAAATTCCTCTGCATGAGGATCCTGTAATAAAAGCAAAATTATAAAGTTGATATACATTTCTTTTTTTTTAATTGATTTTAGAAAGGGAGGAAGGGAGAGAGAGAGAGAAAAACATCAATGTAAGAGAGAGACATCAATCAGTTGCCTCCATACATGCCCCAATCGGGAACTGAACCCATGACCTTCTAATGCATGGAACAATGCTACAACCAAAAGAGCCACATTTTTTTAATGTAATCAATCAAGCAATAAAATGCAGGCTGCCTTGTTTTCAGCTTTATTAACGTTTTCAGCAGAACGGCTTACTCTATTTCCCTAAATTTAAAGCATTATTTTATATTGAGAAATACTCTATTTCACTTATATTGATGCATATCATCTTCCAGCATTACATAGATGACAAGATAAAAAGAAACCCGATCAAAGACAGTAGCGAGTAAACTATTAAGAAGCACTTTATTTAGATATTAGATGCTTCTATAAAGCCCTGCCTTCATTTTTATACATGTAAATATTTTAAATTAAAAGTATCACTTGAGGCAAGGCTTTCTTCTGAGCAGAGGTTATGTAAACATCTGGGATTTCAAAGCACTGCAAAAACCTCATACTCTACATAAAATGGCAAACTGGTATGGCTATTGATATACTGAAGGATAATCAATCCTACAACCAAACACAACTTAAAAAAAAAGTACATTTTTGCAAGTATTTATTTGATAAATATTTATTAGCTACTTATCCTATCTAATAAAAGAGAAACATGGTAATTAGCGTACGACCGCTACCTTTCCCATTGGCTAATCAGGGTGATATGCAAATTAACTGCCAGCCAAGATGGCAGCCGGCAGCCAGGCAGCTGGAAGCGAACATGAGGCTTGCTTGCTTCAGTGACGGAGGACTCCAACGTTCCCCGCCTGCCTTTCTGGCCTCTGAGCTTGCAGTTTAAGAAACACTGTAACAAATATAGAAGCTAAACAAAACCCCAGAAACATGCTTTCAGCTAGCCAGGATCTCAGAGCTGGAGTTATACATTGTTACGATAATAGAACCCAAACAAACCAGATACCTGCTTTCAGCAGCAGAGGCCTCAGAGCTGGAGCCAGAGCTAAAGCTGGCCCAGAATAAAAAAAGAAAAAAGAAAAAAAGGAGCAGTTGGGAGCTTTAGTTGGCCTGAAAACAGCCCTCAGCCCTTCACCCAGACTGGCCAGGCACCCCAGTGGGGACCCCCACCCTGAAGGGTGTGTGACCAGCTGCAAACAGCCATCATCCCCTCACCCAGGCTGGCCAGGCACCCCAGTGGGGACCCCAACCCTGATCCAGGACACCCTTCAGGGAAACCAGCCAGCCCCACCCATGCACCAGGGCTCTATCCTATATAGTAAAAGGGTAATATGCCTCCCAGCACCAGGATAAGCGGAGCCGCGAGGCCTCCCAGCACCGGGATCAGTGTGACAGGGGGAAGCGCCCAAACCCCCTGATCGCCCTGCGGCTCTGTGTGTGACAGGGGGCGGGGCCACAACCTCCCTATCGGCCCTGCTCTGTGCCTGATAGGGAGGAGCTCCCCAACCCCCTGATCGCCCTGCGGCTCTGTGTGTGACAGGGTGCGGCGCCCCAACACCCCCCCTGCCACGGGCCCTGATCTGTGTGTGATGGGGTAGAGCCATAACCTCCCCATCGGCCCTGCACTGAGTGTGACAGTGGCGGTGCCCCAACCCCCTGATCGGCCCTGCTCTGTGGGTGATAGAGGGCGGCGCCCCAACCCCCTGATCCGCCCTGCCCTGAGTATGACAGGGGGCGGTGCCCCAACTCCCCTATCAGCCCTACTCTGTGAGTGACAGGGGGAGCTCCTCAACCCCCGGATCGGCCCTGCTCTGTGCATGACAGGAGGGAGCTCCCCAAACCCCTGATTGACCCTGCTCTGTGCGTGACTGGGTACAGAGCGCCAACCCCCCTGATGGGCCCTATTCTGTGCGTGACAGGGGGCATCGCTCCAACCCCCTGACTGGCCCTGCTCTGTGCATGACAGGGGGTGGCACCGCAACCTCCCCATTGACCCTGCCTTGAGTGTGACAGGGAGCGGTGCCTCAACCCCCCAATCGGCCCTACCCTGAGCGTGACTGAGGGTGGCATTGCAACCTCCCAATCTGCCCTGCTCTGTGCATGACAGAGGAAGGCGCCCCAATTCCCCAATCAGCCTTGCTCTGAGCCCGACCAGGGGCTGCACCTAGGGATTGGGCCTGCCCTCTGCCACCCGGGAGCAGGCCTAAGCCAGCAGGTCGTTATCTCCCGAGGGGTCCCAGACTGCGAGAGGGCACAGGCCGGGCTGAGGGACCCCCCTTCCCCCCCGAGTGCACAAATTGTTGTGCACCAGGCCTCTAGTTATATATAAGGGACTGTAGAGGTGTTATGTGGATTCAAATATACTAGTAGTTGTCTTTGCTTTCTAAGACAAAAAAAAATAATCGAAATAAATATGTACTGAATGAAATACGTGGTTTCACCAAATACTGGAAAACAACACATCACTTTTTACAGAAATGAACATGAAAACCTTTATGAAGAGAAAGCATGTGAGCCAGGAGGGATGGTTTAGGGCTTCTACAGATATTAGAATACTAGTAAGTAAAAGCAAAATGCAACAGAGTATAAAACATTAAAAAAAAGTAGTGGGGTCCCATCATATGTACAATTAAGTTATTCAAGGTCACTTCCATTATTAGAGAAGGGGGAGGGATGAAAATATTGAGAGTGCGGCAATATTTAAATAGAGGAGAATTGGCTCAACATTCCAATCTAAGAGGGAGAACGGCTCTGCTATTCCCCTTCTGGGTCTCAGGTCCCACATGCTGCTCCTAGGGAAGCATCTTTTTCATGTCTGATTCCACTTTAGACTATTATTTATCTTCTGTTTCTATTGCCACAGCCTAGTTTGGGTCCTTACCACGGTGCCTGAATAAAAACAACTGCAGCATTCTCAGTCTATCTGTCCTCCAATCAATCTTGTACACATTGATTCTCCCAAAGCACAATTCTAACAATGTTAGTACCAACTCAAATTTCTTTAATGACTCCTATATACCTATGGGATAAAGTCAAAACTTGTTAGTTTTACTTCTTTATATGTGTTTACTTATTTTTTTCCCACTGCAATAGCACAGTAGCAACTGATTCTAAACTGTATTAAGGCAACTATTTCCATCAATAAATTCACACAAATAGGATAAAAAAACCTTTCAAAAAGGAGTTTCTTTGGTGGTAATGGGCAGGGAGTGGTAGAAAAGGGTAAAAGGGAAAGAAAGATAGAGAACTCTACTTGATATTTGTTTGCCTAACTGGCCCAGCCCATGAACTAGGTTTATGGACAGAAAATACTATAATAAAGCTTGAAAAACTTTTCCATGGGGAATTTAAGGCACAAACAGTGCTACTTTAGAGACTAAGTAATAAAGCAAGACACAATGCTCAGGAAAGAGACATTTTACCACCTACCCTGCTTGCCCTCCCCCCTCATTTTGTTGAGGAATGCAGCCTAGCTGCAGCACAGCTATTACATATTTTTAATACTATTAGTCGTTCACTTGGGACCATACATCTTTTAGATCTCAGTTTTGCATTCCGGCACGGAACAACATTCAACTGAGCCAAACTGGCAATGGCTGAAATATTATTTTTAAACACCAATGATGTACTACCCCTAAAAGAATAATTTCAATGGGACCAAGGGACACATCTGATACAGCAAAGTGAGTAAAAACATGTAAAATAGCAACAGTAATGTTCATTTTCAAGACACTTCAAAATGGCATCTATAATAATAAAAGGGTAATATGCTAATTAGACCAGATGTCCTTACAGACAAAGCTGGGCCGGAGGGAAACCTGGGTCCTGGGTGCCAGAGGGAAGCCAGTGCCGGCACCCGGAGGAAGGAAGGCCTACACATGCATGAATTTCGTGCATCGGGCCTCTAGTATCTACATAAATAACTATGTTATTCACTAGACAAAAACATTTGTAATGAAGACTGCTTTCAGCTTCAATCAATTAAGTGTTCTTTGTGTCCTACTGGAGCAGCGGTCGCCAACTGGTGATTCGAGGACCACTGGTGGTCCTGAGGTCCAAAAGGTTGGTGACCGCTGGTTTAAGGAACCCGGATCACTGGTGGTCCGTGAGGTCTGAAAGGTTGGCAACCGCTGCTCCAGAGCAGTGATTTTCAACTGGTGTGCCCCAAGAACTTTTAAAACAAGCATTACCTGACTCTTTAGTCAGGGATATTGACTAACCTCTTTTCCTTATATTGTGAAATAAAAAAATGACAACAGCCAACACAACAATAGCTACCCAGTATGAATTTCATTATACCTTTTTTTTTTTTTTTTTGCCAGATCTGCAAAAACGTATTTTTTGGTGTGCTGCAGAATTTTAGTAATTAATTTATGTGTGCCATGAGATGAAAAGAGGTGTAAATCACTGCTCGAGTCTCCTCTCATACCACTGCAGTAGAGAGAAAAATTGAAAATGGCTTAAAGAGCCTTTTTTTCCTTCTCAAAACCCTAAAAGGCTAGTTATTCTTTTACTAGCATCAGATATTTTCAATCTAATTCAAATTTCTAAAACAAGCGTGCAGACTGAAGAAATTAATTTCTAGTTAAATCACAGGAAAATAAAACATTGATAAGTTCTTTAAAATGCACCTCAACTATGAGCACACCTCTGTGAATACTATACTTCCAACAAAGAGGGTTGAAAGTAGTCTTTTCCTATTTACAAGTTTCAAGATTAAGGGAATTGTAAACTTTATTAAAGTAAAATTTAAAAGGGGGAAAATGTGAAAAAGTTTTTCACTTGAATATTTTCAATGATGTTCAAAAACAAGATCCAAAAATTATCATGAAAAAATGAAAAGGTTTTTTTTACTTGATTTACTTTTCTCTGTTATAATTCTGGTGGGATGGGGGAGTCAGGAAGATAAAAATGTTGACTGAAATATTTTTTAAATATTTTAAATGGTCACAAGGTTTCCTTAGCACAAGTGATACAGCAAATGAGGCAGGAAGAGGTATTTGGGTGTGTGTTTTATTTTCCTACACAGTATAACACTCAAAGTCATAAAAGTTCAGTGATAAGGATATGCTGAACATTCTCATCAGTACTTGAAAACAACACTTATCTCCTAATCCTCCAAGTGACATATTTCAATAGCCACTTTCAACTCAGAATCACTCAGTGTATACATCCTTTCCTTAAACACATGGCTGTCCCCTATTTATCAGCTCTATTCTAACTCCTCTTCACTGTCATGCTCTTTTTTAAAAAAGTTGTATAGCTCTGTCCATTCATTTACTTTACCAATATAAACAACAGACTGAATCAAAACACTCAAGGGATTACTTAAAATTCTTCAAGAATGTCAGAGATCTTGCTGCTGTTATAATCTATAGTCAAAGTCTTTTGATTACAGAATAGGCAGTACAACGTAGAATACAGAACAGGACTAGCCCTGGTCGGTGTTGTTCAGTGGCTACAGCATCAGACCACACATGGGAGGGTCTCGGGTTTGACTCCCAGTCAGAGGCATGTACCTGGGTTGTAGATTCCATCCCCAGCATTCGGGAGGCAACCAATCGATGTATCTCTCTCACATTGATGTTTCTCTCTCTCTCTCTCTCTCTCTCTCTCTCTCTCTCTCTCTCTCTCTCTCCCCCTCCCTCCCTCCCTCCCTCTTTCCCTCCCTCCTTTTCTCCTTCCTTCCCTCCCTCTTTCCCTCCCTCCCTTACACCCTTCTCCTCTCTTTAAAAAGTCCATGGAAAAAATATCCTTGGGTGAGGATTAACAAAACAAAAAAAGAAGAAGGGGGCTAAATCACAGTGAAACTAAGCAAGTTACCTTCGTTTCTAATCTCAATACAATGGAAATAATCATAGAACCTTAGGGTTGCTGTGAGAATTAAATACTCCAAAGGTCTCACAATTAACTTCTAATCTTACTGTATTATTCCAGTAGAAAAAATATGGATTACAGGGGTTTAATAACAGGCTTTTAGGACAGCTGGCTAAAAGGCAATGGGACAGCTCTGGTCCTCCTGGAGAACAGGAAGAGTAGCTACTGTCTCACCCCTTATTTTAGGCAAACCAAGTATAGTATATATATATATGACAAGCATAATCAAATAATGTTATAAAGCCAATAACAGTAATATCAAAACTATAAAATACACATAAAATATTAAGAATATTTTGTAAAATAGAAGAAATGAAACAGCATTTGAAAGTAGTATTCCATTCATGGGTTAGTACGTTAACATTCATCATACTGTTTTGTTCTACTGATCTCTGCAGTAGTTCCTGAATAAATGAATTAATATAATCGACGACAAAATCAAAAGTAACTTTTTTATACAGATTTCACACTCTAAGCCACATAACAATGCTCTACTTAAATTTAATGTCCTGAAATATTTAGTGGCCAGACTGGTGTGGCTCAGGATGTCACTGGTTTGATTTCTGGGCAGGGCACATGCCCAGGTTGTGGGCTCGATCCCCAGTAGGGGGTGTGCAGGAGGCAGTCAATCAATGATTCTCTCTCATCATTGATGTTTCTATCTCTCCCTCTTCCTTCCTCTCTGAAATCAATAAAAATATATTTAAAAACTATATATATATATGTGTGTGTGTGTGTATATGTATGTATGTATGTGTGTGTGTGTGTGTGTGTGTGTGTGTGTGTGTATATATATATATATATATATATATATATATATATATATATATATATATATAATAATTTAGTGGAGCTTCTTGTAGAGAGCACCTGGGAAGGCACATGGGCATTTCTTTAATTGTCAGCTGAAGACAGTGGCATTGGCAAAGCCACGTCCTGGAAAACATGCTTTGCCAAAAGGCAGGAGTGTTATCAGCTTGACCTTCAGCCCAGGTGCCAGGGGGTGGGTTTTGTTATTTAAATCCAGCCAAGCACCAGGAATGAATAGGACTGGGGCCCACCCAAGAATGCACATAATCTCCTTTGTCTTGACTTTTAGTAAAACTTCCTGTTTTTTGATGTATAAATAAAAAGGCTGTATTGGCTCGGTGTTACTGTCTCTGTCCCTGTCCCGGTCAGAAGACAGTGGTTCCACCCGGCCCCAGCTTTTTTCTTCCATCTCTGTGTCTGTCTCTTTCATTTTCTCAATCCCCAGCTGCCTCTATTCAGGAACCAGACCGCTCTTTAGCCGCGCTGGACGCGGATAAGAGAGACATATTTACAGCTTCTCAAGCTTTATGTTACTAAATTATGCTTAATGAAATGTCCCTCTTCTTCCTGTCCTTCTGCGAAAGTAACTTCAAAACAATTGGAATGACTGAAAGAAGAAATAAGCCCGAGCTGGTTTGGCTCAGTGGATAGAGTGGTGGCCTACAGACTGAAGAATACCAGATTCGATTCCAGTCAAGGGCATGTACCTCGATTGCAGGCTCCTCCCTGGCCCAGGCCCTGGTCAGGGCTCATGCAGGAGGCAACCAATTGATGTGTTTCTCTCACATCGATATTTTTCTTTGTTTTTCCCTAGCTCTTCCACTCTCTCTAAAAATCAACAGAAAAATACCTTTGGGTGAAGATTTAAAAAAAAGGATAAATAAAGCATTCGTTTTCTAATTTCATCATTTTCAAAGAGGCTAAAAAGGTTGTCTCTACTTTTTTTTTTTTTGAAGTAGATAAGGAGTTGGTTAGGAAAGTAAATATGTTAGTACTTAATCACCATATGTGCAAGAAATACATTATAATGTTTCCAGAAATATGGAAAACTTTCAAGAAAAAAACCATGTACATAAAACAGGCTGGTAGGTATATGGACACCTGTATTTTTGGATTTACACTTTGAATTTACACTAGAATTTTGCTTTTAAGCCATATTTATGAAATATTAATATCAAGCCCAGCATGTTTAGCTCAGTGGTTGAGCATCAACCCAGGAGCCAAGAGGCTGCCGGTTCGATTCCTGGTCAGGGCACATGCCCAGGTTATGGGCTCAATCCCCAATAGCGGGTATGCAGGAGGCAGCCAATCAATGATGTTTCTCTCTCACTGATGTTTCTATCTCTCTATTCCTCTCCCTTCCTTTCTCTCTAAAAGATCAATAAGAACATTTCTTTAAAAAATAAGTAAAATATTAATATCAGTAAAATATTTACCAAATATAAATTTAAAATTTATCTTCTAATACTATCATCACTAAAATATAGGGTATCCCCCAAAAATGTATACACACACTGTGAATAATTATAAAAGTAGTATTTATTAAAGTATGTTTTCAAAATTGAGCTATCAGTTGTTAAAGTATTTATCAAATGCTCATTTTAAAACATATCTTGGTATTAGCCAAACATGGCTAACAAAATGAGGCTCAGAACTAAGAATTCCACAAACCACAACTTTCTTAAAGGAAAAGCACTATAAATTTTCCCATGGATAGAACATAGGAAGTAGTAAAAAAAGTATCTTAATTATAATAAGTTCAAAAGGACTACCAAATTATTCTGACTTTATAGACCATGAAATACCCTGATACCCTTGCATTGTTAATAAACTGCTATATCCCTAAAAATAATGCACATTAAGGTACCAGATTGGACCCCAATGCATAGAACCATTAATAGTGAAATATTCTCTCATTTAGAACCATGAATATATAGTAACTTCTTCAATTTATAAAAATGAAACTTACCTTAAAAAGTGTCACAGTGATTTCAATGTTTTCAGGAACAGGCCATACTACAACACCACGGTATGGATTTTTTATTCCAGGTTGCCAGCTATGAGCCTACCAGAATAAAATAATGGCTTCAATATGAAGTACAGGAAATGCAATGTTAATAATTTAGAAAAATATATTGACCCTACTTAACTATCCATTAGATCTATAGTTTCCCTGAAACAAAAATAACCAGTCAAATAAAGCTTTTCAAGCTTTAAACTTGGGCCATGACAGTTACATCACATGAGAGCTACCAAAGACACCTATAAACAAACTTTCACCCTTTCTCCCACCTACACACAAAAGAAGATGCAAAATTGAAGGGTTTTATATTTTCAAAAGCTACTATTCATGACTGGACAAAATTTTATTAGGAGAAATTTTTAAAAATTACTTTTGTGATCAGGGAACTTAAAGGTAAATTTGTCAAAAGGAAGAAGAAGTGGCTGGCGTACAGCAGCAGCTCTGGCTTCTTGGCTGCAGGAGCACCTGCTCCAATGCCCCAGAGAGGCCATAGCATCCTGTACTGGCGGGATCAGCTGCGGGCTGGCAGTTCAGAGGCAGACTGGTGCGAGGACAACTACTCCATAGTGTCTGCCATCGCCAAGTTCTACAACACGATCAGCAACGTGGCAGAAATTGGATTTGAACCCAGGAAATAAAATTGAGAAGAGATTAAGATCATGGAATTTTACCATGCAAGAGATTAAGAGAGCCCTGACCAGTTTGGCTCAGTGGATAGAGCGTCGGCCTGCAGACTGAAAGGTCCCAGGTTCGATTCTGGTCAAGGGCATGTACCTTGGTTGCGGGCACATCCCCAGTAGGGGGCATGCAGGAGGCAGCTGATCGATGTTTCTCTCTCATCGATGTTTCTATCTCTCTATCACTCTCCCTTCCTCTCTGTAAAAAATCAATAAAATATATTTTTTTAAAAAAGAGATTAATACCATGCAAATCTTTTCAGGTCTTATTAGCTAAAATACCAGCAGAAGATGTAGGTTTAGCAGTGTTCTCATCCTCCAACCCATAAATTGTCAATAATTCTCCCTCTATTCTCTCTCCACTGCTTCCAATCACAAAACTTCAGGTGAGGAAAGGGAAGTAGAGACTCACCACATTAGCGCACCATAGTCAAGGTAAAAAACCCAGTTTTGTTGATTAAAAAATATCTCCAGAAATTCCTCTGCTTATTCCCTTTCCTATTTCCATGCTTGTTATAGTCTTAAAACAAAACTCCATAAAGTAAACAATCTCCATTTTGAAAAGTAAATTTCTGCCTTAGATAATCTTTAATCAAAACTCCACTCTACAAACTCTACATACTTAATTCTGAAGACTTATGACAACTCTAATTATCATGTACTGGGAAGGTAGACCAGGCTATTTCTCTAGTGTCTTCAAACTTCCTATAATTATATTTTCATTTTCATAGCCTCTACATACAATAGAAACATAAATAGAATAACAACTTTTCTGACCCACAGAAGAAAAGATAAGTCTTTGAAAAATTCTTTATGACAAAAAAAATTGCCATAAAAGAATTTTAGACCTGAATATATTCTTAGGAAATCTAGACCAAATCCATAAAAGGAAATAGAAGCAACCAAAGAGTAAATGACTTGCTTGAACCCTACTAGTAAACAGTAGAAGAACCAGACTCAATGATTTCCAAGTTCAGAGTTCTTCATCCAACCAACATCATGCCCAGCTCTATCTCTGATTCATATGGTAGTCAAGAAAATAGTCTTCTATCGCTAAGGTCTTAATATTTATATGAATAACAGATCAAAAATGGGGAAAGCAGGGAATGTGGAATTCACCCACCATCTGGGCAGTTAAGAGATGGTGGTTTCAGATAATTTCCTCAGGTCTCCTAATGCTGGTCCTCTAAATGACCTCTTTCAATCCTCAGTCTTGAATCAGGGAATGGTAATTCGATTACTTAACAAACAAAAATATAATCTGCTTAACAAACTAAAAATCTTTTTTTTTTTTTAAATAAAAAGAAATGGAAGGATGGTAGTTCCCAAGTTGCTAGTGTGCTGCCATTTTCTCACCATTCTATCCAGCACCTCTCTTCCCAGTGAGAAAGGTCCAACTAAGAGATCTGGCTTTCTGCTCAACCATGATGGCTCAGTGGTTGAGCGTCAACCTATGAACCAGGAGGTCACAGATTTGATTCCCGCCCAGGTTGTGGGCTTGATACCCACTGGAGGAGCGTGCAGGAGGCAGCCAATCAATGATTCTCTCTCATGGTTGATGTTTCTATCTCTCCTTTCCCTTCTTCTCTGAAGTTAATAATTTTATATATATATATATATATATATATATATATATATATATTTTTTTTTTTTTTTTTTTTTAAGAGCTCTGGCTTTCTGATATTCTTTCCAGAGACTGTATAACCTGGCTAAGGGAGGACAATGAAACAATATCAAGTAGTCCAGCTGAACAGCTGGCAATGCCAGCTTTATAATGTTAATGAATTATTATATATTAGACAAAAAGCAGGACCAGTTTTACTGGAGAGGAATAGGTTATGCACATGAGTGGCAAACATGAAAAAAATGGCTTTTCTATTTTCAAAGAGCTTACTACAACCTCTACCTCAAACTGAATTCAAGTATCTGAAGCTAGAACCAGAATGAAAAGTCTAATACAGGTAACTAAAAATAGCTATGGTAATAAACATCTAATTGTACAAATCCACAGGGACAGTAATTTAGGTTCTTAAGAATTTGATATAGAAAAAGTACATCATATTGGCAAATATCAGCACTATAATAACCCGAATCAGTTTTCATTCAGGGTAACAGAAAGGATTTCCCTATGAAATAATTAGGTACAAAAGCATTTAGCGCCTCAGTATGGTAATGAAAGGCAAGTAAATCATTTGCCAGTATCCTAGTACAGATAATGGTTGCAATAATCCAGTTCGCCTTATACAAATTTTCTCACTTTTTAATCACATCACAGATCCTTTGGCATCTGCCAAAAAAGGCCTAGGAAAAAAGGCAAAATTTCTCAATTTGTGGTATCTACACTAATAAAAGAGAAAGATGCAAGTTGACCATATCTTCGCGACGCCCACCAGCCAATCAGGAGTGAGTATGCAAATTAACCCAACAAAGATGGCGGGTTAATTTGCATACGCAGGTGCTGAGAGGCCAGGGGCCGGGCAGGACACTTGCGCCGTCGCCATGGCAACTACGCAGGCATTCCAAACTGCCCCAACCGCTCCGGGCCTCTGGGCAGAGTGGGAAGGCAGAAAGGCGCCTCCAGACTGGAGCAAAGGCGGTGCCGGCAGCCAGGGGCAGGAAGGCCCATGAATCTTCGTGCATCAGGCCTCTAGTTTACTCTATAAAATGTTTTATTTTCTAATTATTTCATGTCATACTTTACCTAAAAGATATGTACCTTGTATAGAACCAAACACAGAATATGCACTCACTTTTTATTTTTGATTCCTACAAAAATGAAAATATTTCACTAAAAATTTTTAATTGTTATATAGATATTAAGTTGATAATTTTCAATTTAAACTGCATATACTCAAAAGTTTAGGATGTCACATATAGTTATCTTAGAGCTGCCACCATCACCACTATAAGGCAAAGTTCTGCAATTGTAGCCTCCCCTCTTGATATTGTAGTGCGTTGTAAAGGCTGTAATACAACCACAAGAAAGTAAAGGTGTAATACAACCACAAGAAAGTAAAGGGCAAGAAAGTAAAGGTGGTAATGCCATAAAAAAGCTAGTGAGGACTTTAGAATTCTAGTTTCCCTTTGGCATTCTCCCATCTCTCTGAGAGTTTAAATTTATAGTTCACACACTGGATTTAAGGCACAGGCTACTCTGCCACAATTTTTCTGGTCTAACATAATTGCCCTGCTTCCTATTAACACTTATTATATCCTGAAAAATAATTTATTTAAGCATATACAAATGAACTGCAGCCTAATAACCTTTATTATAAATGCCATGACGTAAGATGAGGGGAAGCTGCATATTCTGTTAATTAGCCATGATAATTATTTTCTTAATAAAAGATAATTCAGCAAAGAACTCTTTGTATATTTTGCAATAAAAATAGATATGTATCTAAAGAAAGTGATTAATACACTGAGAACTAAACTTTAAATCAAATAATGCAATATGCCTTAATATTTTACTATCTAATCTGATAGTTATCTGGTGTCAGTTATAAATTTGAATCAACCAATATAAAAAAAGTAGATACACTCAGAATCAGGAAAGATAAGTAGAAAGCTAAACAGATGATAAAAAAAAAATTGATAACTGTGTAGCTCAAACTCTTTTCAGAACCATATTTAAAATTAAAAACTAGAGTATTTTCTGGCTAGTCGATGCAGAGATCTGTTTTCCCCTAAGTGATTTCAGTAGGACTTAGCAGCAAATAATGTATATTTTAAAGGAACACAGAAGAGTCTTTTCAGAAGAAAACAATGATTCTACTATTTGGATTTAATATAACTGATAGCTAATTTTTTAAAAATAGCTGGAAACAAGAATTCGAAAATGTCTTAAGTTTCTCAAGATTAAAAAGTTATCTGCTTTCAAAATAACAATGAGGTACCATCTCACACCTGTCAGACTGGCTATCAGCAACAAATCAACAAACAACAAGTGCTGGAGAAGATGCAGAGAAAAAGGAACACTCATGCACTGCTGGTGGGAATGCAGACTGGTGCAGCCACTATGGAAGACAGTATGGAGTTTCCTCAAAAAACTAAAAATGGAACTCCAATCTGACCCAGTGATCCCACTTCTAGGAATATATCCCAAGAAAACAGAAACACCAATTGGAAAGGATATATGCACCCCTATGTTCATAGCAGCACAATTTACCATAGCTAAGATCTGGAAACAGCCTAAGAGCCCATCAGCAGATGAATGTATTAGAAAACTGTGGTACATCTACACGATGGAATACTATGCTGCTGTAAAAAAGAAGGAATTCTTACCATTTGCAACAGCATGGATGGAACTGGAGAGCATTATGCTAAGTGAAATAAGCTAGTCAATGAAAGAAAAATACCACATGATCTCACTCACTTGTGGATAATTAAGACCATTATAAACTGATGAACAAAAATAGATACAGAGGCAGAGCAACATTGAACAGACTGTCAAACTACAGCGAGAAGGCCGGGGAGGGGTGGGGCGGGGGTAAGAGATCAACCAAAGGACTTGTATGCATGCATATAAGCATAACCAATGGACACAAGATACTGGGGGGTATGGGAGGTCAGGGGAAGGTCAAGGGGAGAAAAAAAAAGGGGACATATATAATACTCTTTGTAATACATTAAGGAAGAAAACAAAATTTTTTTTAAAAAAAAGTTATTTGCTTAACTTTTATAATAATACCATAATCATTTCCTCCGCAGCTTCTGAAACTGATTTTTATGACCTTATTTAGCTGTTGCATACAACTTATAAAACAGCCTTTTTAATATTATGCATATGCTATAATAAGTTTAACACATTATGGGAATAAAACACAATGATTCTAAAATACACAGAAGGGATTTAAAATATTAAAATCATCGCAACTGAAAAATTCGTCTAACAAATAAGAAATAATTCCTTCTAGAAAATATTGCATTCTGAGAAAAATCAACCTGTAGCCTCATTTTTGCATTTCACCACATGGATTCAATTACTATTTGATACAATATATTTTAAAAATCTGTATGTAAAATAAAAATTATTAGCAACTAAATAAAAAGTGTAGTTAACTTCAAAAGTATGGATATTCTGAATTTACCTATAATCTAAAGTATTTCATTATGTTTCATAATTTTCCTAAGAAAATAATGGTATCTAATTATTAAAAGGGGGATCACTTTCTGTTGACATAGCTAAATACATTTAGGGACTATTTCTAATGTTTATAATTGTAGTCATATTCATCTATTAATTATACTTAGTGATGATTTTATATTGGTTTTTTTCCAAAGCTTAAGGCCCAAACACCAAAACCTACAAGAAGATCTTAAGTTTATTTTCAGAACCCATATGTAAATATATAAGAAAATATTCTAGATCTAAAATATAATGCCCCAAAACTATAAATATATGCTTTGAAGATGATGCCATTCATGCTATAAAGCAACTGAGTATTTCCTATAATGCTAGTGGGATTACATTTAAAAGTAAAAAAAATGTATCTACCTTATTACCAGTGTTCTATTCTTAAGTATCTACCCAAAAGAAATGAAAATATTTGTCCCCCAAAATACTTGTATAGTAGTACTATTCATAGCAGCTTTATTCACAATAGGGAATATTTGCAATATTCACTGGAAATTAAGCAAATGTTCATCAACAGGGATAGTATAAATAACTAGAGGCCCAATGCATGAAATTCATGCAAGGGGCTTGGCCCCTGCCTGCCTCAGCAGCTGCCTCTGCCTCAGCCCTTGTCGCCCTGGCTTCGTCTGGAAGGACATCCAGAAGGACGTCTGGTCTAATTAGCATATTATGCTTTTATTAGTATAGATTACATTGCAGTATTACTTACATAATGAAATACTTCTCAGGAATAAAAAACTACCAATATACAAAATAACATGACTACACCTCAGAAACATACTGATTGAAATAGTGGAAATAGTCTGTATCTTGATAAGAATGGTAATTACACAAGTATATATTAATCAAAACTCACTACATCATATAATTAACATCTGTGTGTTACACTGTATGTAAATTTTAGCTCAATAAAAATAAAATTTGAAAAGATACCCTTAATAAAAATCTGTGCAATTGCTATTGAACATTTTAAAATTCTATTCTACTCTCCATAAAGCTATCAGTCCAAAAAATATAAGCCTTTGAAAAAAACAAACCCTTCTCTTCTTCAACTCAGCAATGGACTCAGATAACTCATCATTCCTTATGTGTGCCCCAATCTCATCCTCTTGGAATCTGAATAAATTATTCCTACGTACATTTTATAAGTGGTGCCTATTTAATTCATGATACCCTAGTACAGGGAAGTTAGGTAACTACTTACTCCAGGCTACCAAATCCAAGATCAAGGCTCAAATATCTGGCTTCCATTTTAAGAACTTTAGAACAAGATTACAATGCCTGGTCAATCATTTTAGTAGACTAAAAATAACCTAAGATATCTAATAATGCTTTAAAATATTCAACGGTAGGGCCAGAGAAGCGTAATAATTTAACTTAAAATTGAATTCAATATTTAGGTGAGAAATGTAGAAACAGACTAACCTTAGAAGACTTCCTTCGGCTTCTTCTTGTCCAAACTACCACCAATTTATCTGGCTGCCTGCCAAACAAGAAAAAGATTAAATATAATTTATCTTAAATCAAAGTAATGTGAGGTTTGGTTCCAGTATATTTATTTTTAAATTTTAATATTTTTATTGATTTTGGGGGGTGGGAGGGCTTAATCCTCACCTGAGGATACTTTTCCATTGATTTTTAGGGAGAGTGGAAGAGAGTGGGAAAGACAGAGAGAAACATCTATGTGAGAGAACACATCGATTGGCTGCCTCCTGCACGCCCACTACTGGTGAGTTACTTAAATGTGTTGTGGAGGAAGTTAAAGTGAAACAATACTTTGGAATTGAATATGAACAAAGGGTTAAATAATTTAATTTTTTAAATTTCGCTGAACTTAAAGAACTCTCAAACAGTTGAATTAGTTTGTTTCCTAAAACAATAGAAGTTTGGAGGGTGTGTTTTTTGTCTTAACATACATTCTTCCCAAAGTCTGAGCAGGCCCTAGGCAAAATTGTGAAATAGGTCCCACTTGACTAGGCATCCTTCCCCCCTTTATTTGCAGCCCCTCCAATTCCAGGGCCATTCTTCCTTGGGTATGCAAAATCAACGTGGTGCTCCATTATAGCACACAAAATCACAATAGACAAATGCTCTTCAGATCACTCATTCTTTTCTATGGTAATTAAAATCCACCCTACCCCCACCCACCCCCTGCCAGGGTATCTTAGGAGGTTATTGAAAGGAAAGAAATCTGGGGAAGCAATTTGTATTAATTTAGGGGATAAGAATTTGTAAAAAAAAAAAAAAAAAAGATGCTTCCAAGATGACATAGTACTAGAGTGGAGGTTAGAAAACTAGTTTTTCCTCGTTCTGACCCTAAGTGACTTTAGGAATGTCTCTCCATTTTTCTGAGTCTATTCTGTAATTTATCAAATGAAGAGATTGCACTAAAATCTCAGCTAGTTCTGAAACACTATGGTTCAATGACTGTAAAGTTAAATGACTCTAACTGGTTAAATTATTTGGTGGTTTAAAATGAAATGAGAAATTCAGGAACAGGGTAAATAATTTGTGGCAAGGAATCACTTGCCTCCTATCTTCTGACAATCTAGAGGTAGCTAATATTACCAACAGAACAGTATTATTTGTGTGTGTGTGTGTGTATACAGGAAGAAGTAATATTTTTTAGTAGAGAATTAAACTGACCACCAAAGATTCATGCTCCCTGTCTAAAGCATAATGTTAATCTTGGGAGGTGTAGCAAGAAGTCCCTTATCCCCACCCCATCCAACCACCACCACTGCCACCATGTATGCATTGAGATGGAACCATATGATACTCCTTACCACTGGAATGTGAGAAGTAACCTGTGCCACTTTCAGAATAAAATGGATAATAAATGAGTATGCCTTCTCCACAGCAGCTGCATGGAGTGGATTCTAGAATGCAGAGGGCACAGTCATAATGTAAAGGGTGTCTGGGCCCCTGAATGATCACATGGAAAGACAGTCAACCTGGAATACCCTCTCTAGACTGAGGAGTGAGGAAGAAATAAACTTTGATTAGGTTAAACCACTAGAATTTGTGGGTATGTCTATATAGTGCCTCCTCAACATTATAGAAAATTTAGTAAATTAAACACACATATACATAACAATAAAACAAGTTGCTGTCTTGTAGAAGCTTACATTGCAAAGTGCTGAGACACAAACCTTTTTATGTCTTACTAGTTTTCATTTATATGAAATCAATGTTTCTAAAGATAAAAGACAGTTATACTTCCAAACTTAGTAATATTTAAGCCTCTGCGCTTTTCCTAAATTAAAAATAAAGAACCATAAGTCCTTAGAACAAAAAAAGTACAACATATTCCTCTCACCACAGAATCCAGGATATGCCTATAATGAGAAAAAGCTCAAAATATTAACCCTGAAGTTAATGTGAATAGGCACTTCACTAAATAACAAGGTTACTCTTTTTAGGGAAAAGGGCTCTTAGCCATAACTGAACATTTCATGGTGGAATGCTGTGAATATTGAAACAAAAGGTTAGAAATTGTTTTATCACAGAAATACTCTAACTCTACTATTTCTCAAGTAATTATTTTTATCCTTCAGTAGGCACATCTGCCTCCTATTGTACTATCACTGCTGTAGCTCCAGTTAATTATACTCCTTTATGCTTACTTCACAAGAGTTATTTAGCAAGCTATAATAATTAATTCAATAAGAAAAATAATTATACAAGACAAATTATGCAAGTACACATATACAGGATATATTTCTTTTTGTAAAAATGAAAGGATAGTTCTAATAAGAGACGTAAATCTTTGTCACTTAAATAAAAATACTTTCATTAAATTATATTTTGCATCTTCTTACCATCTTTTTTTAAAATATATTTTTATTGATTTCAGAGAGGAAGGGAGAGGGAGAGAGAAACATTAATGATGAGAAAGAATCATTGATTGGCTGCATCCTGCACGCCCCCTACTGGGGATCAAGCCCGCAACCCAGGCATGTGCCCTTGGCTGGAATTGAACCCGGGACCCTTCAGTCCGCAGGCCGACACACTATCCACTGAGCCAAACCGGCTAGGGCTTCTTACCATCTTTAAAATATAGTCACAGTGATTGCTTTTGGTTAAAAATATTTAACTGGTAATGCATATGGACTTTCGCTGACAGGTTATTTCTAATACCTATGTATCAGTATTTAGGGACAGCACCATTTCAGCTGACAGACTTCACCATTTGGCAGACTTTAGATGAGTGACTTTACATGCCCTGTTACACACACACAAATATGTCCCCAAATAATACTTTCCACTTTCCTTATTATTTTATAGAATCGCCCATACTACTTCCTTCAATTTAGCATGTTACTTACTACTACTTTTTTTTATATCTGTTGTAATAAAACTCACATGTCACTCACATAAATATTAGTATTTCCAAGTTACGTACTTAGCTCCCTGAAACTGAAGTTAGTAAAAAATTAAAAAAAAAAAATACATCCACTTAAACCATTCCCCAGCCTTCCTCAAAAATCATTTTCATCATTTCTTCACAGCACATTTCTATAATTGCTTCAATCATGTGTTTGAATGATTATTGTCTATCTTGCTTCTACCTGACTTCAAAGTTCTCAAGAGATTTCCTGGTATTTGTGAAGCATTTACTGTGAGGAAGGTGGGAAAGAGAATATGATGAATAAAAGAATCATGAAGGCAGACAGATCCATGTTTGAATCTGGTTCCCCTTTTTCTGATTATATCATCTAAGCCTCAAGGTTCCTCATCTGTGAAATTAGAGCCTCCTATAACCAATGTAAAAATCACTTAAGATAATGTAAGAAGAGCGCTTAGCTCAGCCTGCCATTCAGAAAATTCTCAAATGTTAGCAACTACCCCTTGTAGTAGTATATGCACAGAGCTCCCAAACAGTTTTGTACAATCATCCTCCTTTTAAACGTGTACAACAAAGGATCATCTAAGGAAAACTTCTAATATAAAAGACAAGTGGCTGGAAAAGAGAAAAACAGAACTTGAAAGGCCCAGGACATTATCGCTAATATCCTTAGAAATATAAAAGCTATTGTACCCATGAAAAATATTAAAAGAATATTTAAAGAATAAGAAAGTATTCTGGAAACTGTCATTTTTTTTTATTTAGAAAAGCAAAAATTGAAGAGTTGGAAGATAAAGTTGAGGAAATCTTCCAGATCTAAAAGAAGGGACAGATATGTTAAAAGGGAAAGAGAAAAGAGGTAAGAAATTTAGATCAATCCAGAGTTAAATATCTGACTAATCCCCCAGGATGATAGTTACAAAAAAGGTCTCCAGATGTCACCTACACTGCAGACCTAGAAAGAAACCATTTCAAAATAGAGCAGGACCTGAAGGCTTGAGAGGAAATTTGAACTGATGAATCACCAATGTTTAACTGTTTAGAGAGAGATTATGACCGGCTAACAACAAAAAATTAAGGATAATAATGATAGACAAATGGAGAGAAAAGGCAAAAAATAAAATAGCAATTTTTAACACAAAAAAAAAGCAAAAGAAAGGAAATGTGGTCACAATATCAGAAGGCTCAGTTGCAAACAATAGTAAGTCATAACAATGAATTCTGATCTACCTCTGATTGGAGAATGGAAAGGATGGGGAAAGGAAAGGGGATAAGTGTGCTTTAGAGAGGAAATGTTACAACTTCAAAGATGAAAATGACTACTAACAGAAACAGGATTTCTTTTTTGGGTGATGAAAATATTCTAAATTAGTAATGATAGTTGCACAACTTTGTGATTATATTAAAAATAATGAATTGCACACTTTTGAAAGGTAAAGTTTTTGAAATATATTTTTATTGACTTTTTTAGAGAGAGTGGGAGGGAGAGGGATAGAGAGATAGAAACATCCTAATATATAAAAACCCTGGGTCGTAACGACCGGTAACAACTGAGGCTTGACCAACCGGAAGTCAGTCCTGCAGTCAGCACTGCTTGCACTGTAGGCGCGGTGCCCCAGCACTGACTGCTGAGGGGGCTGTGAATCAGGGCCAGAGAGAGGCCTGAAGAGAGAAGCAGGGACTGATCCATTGCCTCTGTGGCAGCTTTTGATCAGCACTTGCTTCTCTCTTTCTCTCCCAGAATGGCCAGCAGCCACAACTCCATTTCTCCCCAGGCCTCCACCGGGGCTGCTGATCAGCCCTGCCTTTCAGATCAGGCCCCGTTGATAGGCCCAGAGACGCTGACTGGCATAAGAACCAACCAATCAGAACCAAATGTGGGTGCTGTGAGGAACCAATGGCTACCTAGAAGGCAGAGCTTATGATGCTGACTGGCATAGAAACTGACCAATCAGAACCAAATTGCCCAGCAAAGGAGGGCAGTTGGGGGCGAGATCAGGCCTGCAGGGGAGGGCAGATGGGGGCAACCAGGCTGGGAGGGGAGGTCAGTTGGGGGCGAGATCAGGCCGGCAGGGGAGGGCCACTGGGGGTGAGATCAGGCCAACAGGGGAGGGTAGTTAGGGGTGATCAGGCAG